TTTAGGCAGGAGACGATTTTTTTTAATGGAAGAAATGCACTACAAAGTAAGATAGAGTTTTGCCTAGTGCAGGAGGCCCTTCATTACTGCTGCAGAAAACAAAAGCCTGGCTGAGCTGATGTTTTACATTCTCCTTTACCGAAATGTCCGTGACATGATGCTTCTTGCTGGGTTTTTGTATACACAGACATTGTCAAGCTGTGAACGAAAATGGCTGGAGGTGTGCTTTGTGTGAAAGGTGAGCGATAAGGTGTCTGTACGTTCAAAAAAAAAGTAGGTAAGTCAATGAATACCCTGATGTCCAATGCAGGGCTGCTTAAACAATGGTGCATCCACAGACAGGAAATAGTGGTGCCTGGCCCTGCTCACCACGGAAACCCAAGCAGCCGAGCCGCACACTGTGGCAAACTGGAAATGGCCTGGCAGTGTCCTCTGGAGAGGGAGTCTGATTTCAGAAGCCACACACAAACTTTTTTAAGCACACTTACCAGGCAAAACTGGTGTCAAGATGGGATGACAAGGTCCCCACGCCCTATCCTGGCCAATCACTCATAGCTGCATAACTGTGGCCATCGGATGGACATCCACACCTGCGGATCTGTGGACCCAGATCCTGAGGTACGAGCCCTCCTCCCAAGCCCCTGTGAAGCCCTCAATGTCACCTGAGAGCCACCAAGAGGGCTGAGATGCCCAAGCCTGGGACAGCAGTCCTCATGGAAACACAAGGTGGATGAGATGCTTAGGGCAAGAGCCACAGCCTGGACACACCCAAGCCATGATGCAGGAATGACGCCTGTATAAAAATACACTAACCCTAGCTTGCACGCCGTTGTTCTGAGTAATAGGGACTCAAAGCACCAGCCTCTAAGCCAAGAAGTCTCATAAGCATAGTGATCCCAATGCTGGCCTTGCCACCACCCTCCTCAGGCCAGCACGGACAGACCTGCCTGAGGTTGGCATCTCGAGCTACAAGGCACACCTGAGCCATGGGTCTCAGCGCTACGATGGCAGGTGGGCCTAGGAGTGAGCGCCAGGCGCCAGGGTGTGGGAGTCTGACACCTCCCTCTGCAGGTGCAGTTGCCCAGGAGGTTGCCTGAGGAGAGAGACACTTCCTTTCCCCAGGGACGTTCAGCCTCCAGGTGCTGTGGGCAGCAAGGGAGGGGGGAAGGGAGGGCTGGGTCGAGGAGAGCACTCCGTGCTCCCATAGTCCCGCACTCCCTGCTGGGTCTGGAGGGTGCCCTGCCTTGGTGCTGGCCCCAGGGTGACTGTGCACATTGCTGCTTCAGGCTTGGATGTGGCTGGGATGAGGTGGTGCCATGACCCACGCCATCCCTGTAGCAGGAGGTTTCCGTGTGGGCCGCATCTCTCATATCCCAGGGGCGTGTAAGACATGGCATCTTCTAGTCAGTGGCTGCTTAGGCTCGACATCTTGGAGCTAGCCCCTGCACAGGCACCCAAATTCACCCCGGCACCACCCTAAATTCCTCACCCTCCTGTTTCCCTGCCTTTAGAAGTGGCACTCAGAGCTGTCTTGGTCCCACCTCGGCCACCCCAGCTGCTTGTCCTAAGCCATCAGATGCGCTGGACCTGTACTTGTCACCAGAAAGCATTGTCCTCAGGTTTGCCAGCCCCAGCCCATGATGGACAGCAGGGTAGCTGCCTCCCTCCCATCAGCTGCTGGCTCATGTGACCCCACTGCTAGCCTTACACAGTGAGCCCCTTCCCTGTCTTCCAGCCCCAGGTGCACTCTGTTCTTCCTGGGGACACTGCCCTCCTCCCTCAGCTCTGTCATGCTCACCTCCCCCATGGGTCTGAGTATGAGCGCTGAGGACCCAGCACACACAGGACTCCAGGGTAACACCTGCCCAGCCACTCTCTCCCGCCAGTGCCCCGTGTCTCTGCTTCATCCCTGTGCTGCCTGGGGCCAGGTGTGTCCTGCTACCTGTCCCAGCTGAGCTCCACGTGCCAGGCCACACAGATACTTGTGACCAAGTCCCCGGGAGCCACAGGACTTGCAGGAACATGAGATGGGAACCTCGCTCTCAGGGGCCAGACTCACCTGCCCAGTGAGGAGGATGTTGGCGGGACCTTATCCCTGGGACCTCTGCTCCCCTTCTGGGAGCTGGCTGGGCTAGTTCAGGCATCTCCAGGACTTCTCAGGTTGAGTTGTTCAGATGACTGAACTAGCTGCCTGGCCCGCGCAGTGGGGACATTCTGATCATCTGACTCATGGCTACAATGGTCTCCACTTCCCGCTGAGCCTCCTGTCTAAACTGAGTGCTGGCTTCAGTCCTCCCTCCTGAAGTGGGTGACCTAGAGCCGTTAGGGTCACATGAAAGCCATGTGTTGTCTGGACTGTACACTCCCTGTGGGGCTGTGGATGCTGGGCTGGTGACACCCTGTGGCAAGCAGAGTTGGTCCCACCCTGATGGACTTGCTGCGAGTTCTTCCTACCCCATGGAGAGACAGAGGCCATGCCTACTGGGCTGTCCTGGCGCAGGTCTGCTGTGGCACCTGGTGTGGGTTCCAGTGGCCACCAGCTAAGGCCATTGTGGCCTCAGTTTTCTGAGTTCTGGATCAAACCCACCATGGGATGAAGCTTCTAGGGACCCAGCTGTCACAGAACAGGAGGGATGCAGCTCTGTGCATCTCTGAGGCACCAGCCCTTATCCAGGCCTCCTGCCCTGGGACGAACACCTCAGCTGGGCTGAAACCCAGTGCCCTAGCCCAGGCAAGTGGACACCCCATCCCTCTCCAGCAGCGGTATGCACAGGACTGAGCCTGTGGCCAAAGCCCTTGGGTGCCTAGCCGAGTCACAGAGCTGAATCTCCCCTCCAGGGCCAACGCAGTCAGGCACAGAAGCCTTCCAGACATACTGGCACCAGCTCCCTGGCTGGAAGTGGAGGTCATCTGAAAGACAAGGAGGCTGAGCCACTCACCAGGGCACTGCAGCCCTGCTGGGGCCACCATGGCACTCGCCCTGAGGCCCTGGTTCCTCTCCATTTCTGTCCTTAGCAGCTGGGCCCCGACCTCTGCATCCAGTCCCCAGCACACTTGCACACCCTGCTCCAGGAGTCCAACTGCCCTTGCTCCTTCCTTGGAGAAGTGGGTCTCACATGAGCTCACATCAGGCTCCACAGGGCCCCCACGAGACCCCATACTTGTCACAGAACTGTGGAACACTGGGTGCCCATGGCAAACACTGGCTTAGAAGATGCATCTGAGGCCCAGGCAGGGCGGCTACACTGCCACATGCTGCTGCCAAGGACGTAGTCTCCACACCTACTAGGAGCATTCTTCCCAGCCCCTCTGTGGGGACCCAGCTGGTCCCATGCCTGTTGCCTGTCTATCCCATTGTCAGCTCCTGTACTCAGCTGAAGATGTCTCTGGCACATGCCTCAGGGCCTTGTGTGCCCACCAGGGCACAGTCTCTGGAGAGATGCCTCTGCTCCCACTCTGTGGGGCCCAAGGCAGAGGGATAGATAGTAGCTCTCCCTGCTCCTCCTCACCTAACACAAGGTAAATTCCTGGCTCACCTGCTGAGTAGCCAACATGTCCTAACTTCTGGCTGCTTCCTCCTGGCATGTCCACCATAAGCCATTCAGGCCAGGGGCAGCTCCCTCTGCCTGGCTGCACTGTGGGCAGGGCACATAGAAGAGGCCACTGTCTGCTGTCCACAGCCCCAGAACCCCAACTCCTACATGTGGTTTTGATTATTCTGCTCTGGATGGACAAGGTGGCCTGATGGTGGGGACACCCAAGGCCGCCCCATGGTGGTCTCTTCACTCTGCCCAGCAGTTGAGAGCCACGGTGCCCAGCCAAGCACTGATCCAACACCTGGACCAGGATTCCACAGCGTGAGCCCTCAGAGAACGGATGAGGGGTGCCGCAGAGCCTCACATGCACTTGGACCCACTGCAGCCAGGCAGGGTGGAGTTCTACATTAGCACTAAGGAAAGAGGTGCTGCAGGCTTGCCAGTTCTTTTTTTTTTTTTTTTTTTTTTTTTGGGGATTGAACTCAGACCCTTGCGCTTGCCAGGGAAGCGCTTACTCTACTGAGCCATCTCCCAGGCTCCCTGCCAGTTCTTTTGATAAAAAGCAAGTTTTAAAAGCTGTCTGGCAGGCCAGTAATGTAGCTCAGAGGCACAGCACCTGCCTGGAAAGCACAAGATCCTGAGTTCGATTCCCAGTGCCACAAGACAAAACAAAAATCAAGAAATAAAAGTGATCTGCAATCTTCCTGATGGCAGGGCTAGAGCCCAGGCCTCATACACATGGGCACTGCTTCTGCCCCACGAGGTGGCTTTCAGAATGGGAGCCTCCCTGTCTACTGAGGGTCCCAGATTTCACAAGTACATCTTAGAGTTATGAATAAGAAAACCTAATACCAAGAGAGAAATTTCTTTCCAGAAATCCCAGCAGCCTGGGGCTGAGTGGGCACACGTGAGTGTGGAGGGCAGTCTGTTGTCCTCATTTTGTGCTCCAGCAGGCTGCTCTGAAAAGCTGACACATGCACAGCAGTGCATGCTCCTGCAGCCGGGATGGGCACTGTGGCCTGGACCTGGCGCCCTGGGCTGTGGGGCCCAGGGCTGCTGGGTGGGCGCTCTGGGTACTGCCCTCGGCTCTGGCCAGGCTGGTGCACGTGGGGCCGTCCACTGAGCCTTTCCAGTGGGTTTGTTTGTGGTTCAACTAAATAGATGAAAAGGGCCCCACAAATTTTATAGCACAGAATATAATCTGTCAGAGCAGAATGGTGCTGTCAGGCTGGGAATGGCTTCAGGGCAGGCTAGACTTCCTGACCGAGGAGCAGGCTGCAGTCACAGAAGAACATATTCTTGACTAAAGCACTGAAATGTGGACAGTCAAAGCATGCAGCTCACAGATGAGACTCAGGTGGCCCAGCAAAGTGAGCGTGAGTATGAGTGTGACTGTGTGTGTGTGTGTGTGTGTGTGTGTGTCTGGCCCTGCATGTCTCTGCGTGTCTCTGAATGTCTCTGTGTCTGTCCCTGTCCCCAGGGCTGTCTTTGGTGGCTGCGTCTCTGTCTCTGCCCTGCTTTGTGTCTGTGTTGTGCACAGGTGTGTAGTGAGCAAGGGTCACAAGGGGGCCTGGAGCCAGTGGAGGTGAGTGGGGTGGAGGAGACACGGGTGCTGTCTCACAAGTTTTGTGACTTTTTGTGAGTTTGAAAGCATTGGAAAGCAATAAAAATGGGCAAGGACAGAAGCAAAGCTGCATGTGATACACAGTGCACTAGGTCCTGGAGCAGCACTGGGGCTCGGGGCTCCCCGGGCCCTGGGAACGTGGGAGGCCATGCCAAGGCGCCTGTCTGGGCCCAGGCAGAGGCAGGCAGTGGCCTTCAATGGTTCCCCTCCAGCATGAGGGGCCACATGAGGCTGATGACCCTGGGGTCACCTGTAGTGTTCCCTGGATGAAAGGCGTTCAGGAGCCACCCTGGTGCTCCCTTGTCCCTGTAACCTCCATTCCGAGCTGTGCAGCTGGACTGAGAAGCCATCCCATTCCTGTTCCTTCCTGGTTGCTAACTGGAAATGAGCAACACAGCAGGGGCTGTCCCCAGGGGCAAAGGCCCAGGGCACAGGGCCTCAGGCGGAGTCTGGGCCTGATGCCTTTTGGTGTTTCCAACACCTGAGCTTGGTTCTTCACTTCAAGTGGGGGCGCCAAGCCCTCAGCAGCTTGGTGTGCTCATCCACCTCCCTCGTGGGAAGGGTGCACTGGGGAAGAGCTCTGAAGAGTGTGGCTCCTTCCTGCAGCAGCACAGAGCATGGGGGAAGCCAGACAACCAGGTCTGGTTGGATTACAGGCTTTGGGGAGTGTGGCTGTGCACATTTTACAGTGCGTGTTTTAAATTTTGTCATTATTTCCGCAGTGTCCTTTTTTTTTTTTTTTCTTTTTGAGACAGGATCTCACTGAGTTGCCAAGCTTGGCCTTGAGCCAGAGAAACTCTTGCCTCAGTCTCCTGAGTAGATTACAAACTGCGCCTGCCTGGATTGTTGGGGTATTCTTAAGAACCTCTGAGAGACTATCCAGCCTTCCCAGGCATTTAACTTCAGGGCCTGCACCCTCCACTGTCTGCCCAACCTCATCTGGCTTTCAGTTGAGAACACTCTGTAAAATGACTTCAAATACACATGGGAGATCTTTCAGCCATCGACTAAGTTTGGGAAACAAGGTAAACAAACTCAGCTGCAAGTCCAGGACACGTGTCTCCCTGCGCAGCCTCTGTCCCACACAGGACCTGGGAGTGTGTCTGAGTGCACAAGTGGCTGCCAGGGCCCAGCTCTCTCCCTGGCCGGCTTCCTAGCAACCTAGTCCTGCTCCCTGCTTTGCCCATGTCCCCAGGACCCTGAGGGAGGAGGCTGTGATGGATTCAGGCAGAAAGCAGGGTGCAGCAGGCCACATCTTCCACCCATACCTGCTTGTGTCCTCTGGTTGTCCCTGGGGAAAGGCCCCGGCCCTGCCCCTGGGCACCGGTGACTATGTGGTCCACCTGGGGCCCCGGACAAAAATGTCCTAGACAGCGACACCGCTCAGGTTTAAGTGATCCTGGTCATAGATACACATTGTCTCTTAGGTCTCAGAGAAAGAAGAACTCTAGCAATTAAACTACAGAGCACAGGGCATAGGCTACATCACAACTTCAGAAATACCAAGGAAAAGCAGACCCACATCACAGCAGTATAACCTCACTGCAGAGAGTGTCTTTCAGAACAGATGAGAAGGTAGCCTTAAAAGTAACTTAGGGGCTGGGGAGGTAGCTCTGTGGCATACGCACCTGCCTGGCAAGCACAAGGCCCCAAGTTCAATCTCCAGTACCGCATGCTATGTCAGCCCTAGAACTGGGTGTGGCAGTACACATCTGTAATCCCAGTGCTGGGAAGGCTGAGACAGGAGGATCACTATGAGTCTAAACTGTGTAGTATGACCCCGTATCAAATAAATAAGTAAATGAATGAATAAGTAACTTCAAGAACAGAGGATTAAAATGTTAAGAAACGGAAGCAGCCAGGTGCAGTGCATGTAACCCCAGCTACTCAGGAGCTGAGGCAGGAGCATCACTGGCAACTCGGGGAGACCCTGTCTGAGCATGAAAATAGAAAAAGGGTGAGCATGCACTCTGCGGTAGAGCACCTCTGGGCTCGGTCCCTAGAGCCACGCACAGGAAACCAAGGTCCATCAAGCACTGAGCACCCGTGACCATCACAGGAGCACCAGAGCCAGGGCAAGGCTGCAAAGAAGGGGCTGAGGAGGGAAGGCCCCTGCAGCCACACATCCCAAGCTGGGGCGCCACAAATGCCTGCATGTGTCCAGCACACCCAGCAGAGCTCTTCGCCTGAAAGGCTACTCTTCTGGGTGACACTCTGTGACCTTTGCCTACTCCTGCCTTTCTGGTTCTGGCTGAACTCAGGTCACTACTGATTTGCTCTGAGCCACACCTCACACACTCTTGGCCGCCCCAGCTCAGCACGGAACTGAGGACCTCATCCACACAGCTCTGCCTTACCCCAAGCAGACACAGCTTCCCAGCCCAGGGCATGCCTGCCTTTCCACTAGGCCTGGGTGGGAAGGGGCACAAGACCCTGACCCTCAGACCCCAACACACCAACCTGGAAGATGGTGCCCTCACTGTGTCAGAAGCTGGGGCTGAGAGAGAAGAAGCCTGGATTTGTTCACATCATCAGCCAGGCCTTGCTGTCACCTGCCCACGGCCAGGTGGGCACGCCCAGTGCAGCAGATGTGCCCAAAGCCATTAGGCAGTCAGCCCCACTGCATCTTCCCCAGGGAGCCTGCAGGCCACTCCTGGGTAGTGTGACAAGAGGACCAAGGGGACCAGAGACAGGCAGCAGTAGGAGTCCTTTGCCCTGGGCCTTCTCAGGGAGTTGTCCTGAAGGCTGGTTCCAGAGCTCCAGTGTGGCTAAAAATCTGCTGGTGAGGTGAAACGCACAGCCACTGACTTCCCAATGGCGTCTGGCATGGGTGTCTCCATGCGAGGCCATGCCTGCC